TTAATTTTTTTTTCAACGTTTTTGATTTATTTTTGGGACAGAGAGAGACAGAGCATGAACGGGGGAGGGGCAGAGAGAGAGGGAGACACAGAATCGGAAACAGGCTCCAGGCTCCGAGCCACCAGCCCAGAGCCCGACGCGGGGCTCGAACTCACGGACCGCGAGATCGTGACCTGGCTGAAGTCGGACGCTTAACCGACTGCGCCACCCAGGCGCCCCAGAGAGCAAGAATCTTAAGCAGGCTCTATGCTCAGTGTGGGACCCGACAGGGGCTCGATCCCACGACTCCGGGATCATGACTTGAGCTGAAATGAAGAATAAAATGAAATGACGCTCATCCTACTGAGCCACCGAGGTGCCCCTTGTCCACTGCTTTAGAAAATGGAGAAACCCTTGTTAGCTCTCCGGCTGTAGAGAGCAGGCCTCGCCAGCTGCACTTCCCTGAGCTGTTTGTCTTGCACTCACGCCGGGCTCTCTCTCCTCCGGACAGGGATGGAGTCCCGCCGTACAGGACCCGTAAGCAGCACCGCCGGGAGATGCAAGAGAGCGTCCAGGTCAACGGGCGGGTGCCCCTACCTCACATCCCTGTAAGTTCTGGCCACGCAGCCCTGCGCCCTGTCTCCTGGGCCCTCTGGGACCATGCCCACCCTTTCTCCCTCCACCCCCGGCCACTGTGGCACTGGGCAGCGGGAAGGGCATTGCTTCCTGTGGGCTCAGCTCATGTCCAGGCATAGCGTGTGGTCAACACGAGGTCACGCCCCACTGGCTGGCAAGGACAGCGTGGGCGACTTGTAGGCCCACACGTTCCCTTCACAGGGGCAGGGAGGGCCTCACGTAGCACCTGCTGTGCAGTCTTCCTGTCCTGCTAAGTGACGTGCTGCTCCTCGATGTGGGAGAGCAGCTCTGAGCCCCTGTCCCTGGCTCGATACCGGGCCCGGCCCCTGCATGGGCCACCTCACTGTGGCTCCGTGCGGAAGCCTGACGGCGGCAATGCTCGGCGCCTCTGATCCCAAGTTACTGTGAGCACTTGCTGTGGGAGGTGCCTCAGCTTCGCCTCCTGGGAGGAAATAGTGAGGTGACAGTAGTCCCCCCGACTGTGGGCGCCGGAGGGGGGGCTTCGCAGAGCAGGCAGGCAGCCCGCCCCCACCTGCAGAGACCTCTTTATCTTGGCGTGCCAACTGAACGGGAAAGACTTCTCAGGGAAGAGAAGGAGGCCTTGCAGGAGTCTCAAACCGTTGGTGCTGTGAGCAGCTGTCCGCGGTTCCTGTGCAGGTGAAGGGGACGTCTCTCGGGGTCACCGCACACTCATCCGTGGCCGGTTCTTTGCTTAGAGTCTTTTAGCTAATTTCCAGGTAAGAAAGGTGATTTTTATGGTTGAGCAGAAAGGTTGTGGGTATGTTCTTGCTTCTGAGAAGAGGATGGGTGGTCAGTGTTAGGGGCACCCAGGGGACTCGGTCGGTTCAGTGTCGTGACCTCAGGTTCGGCTCAGGTCATGACCTCACTGCTGGCGGAGTCGGGCCCCGTGTCGGGCTCTGTGCTGACAGCACGGAGCCTGCCTGTGATTCTCTTCCTCTCTCTCTCTCTCTCTCTCTCTCTCTCTCTCTCTCTGTGCCTCTCCCTGCTTGTGTGCTCTCTAAATAAATAAATAAATGTTAAAAAAAAGGAAAAAACAGAAAAACCTGGTCAAGCATCTTGTCACCTCCCAGCACAGACTTGACCTAAGCCAGGCACCGACAGCGTGTGCTCGGGAGGAGTGGATGCTGCTGCTGGTGGTGCGTGTGCGTGTGTGTGCCTGCGTGTGCGTGCACGCTGCCGGGGCCCCTCAGGGCTCCCCCGTAGGGAGCACCAGCCAACTCGTGCTGTCGGAGCACAGCCGGGGCCTGCACACGTCTTCACCTCGCTGTAGGCTGGTGCGTGTGTCTCCTTGCTCTCTTCAGAGATCTTTTTTGTTTTTTGTGTTTTGTGGTTTTTTTTAAGGGTTATTTATTTATTTTCAGAGAGGGGGCAGGGAGTGGGGGAGGGGCAGGGAGAGAGGGAGACAGAGAATCCCAAGTAGGCTCCGCACTGTCAGCACGGAGCCTGATGCAGGGCTCGGTCTCAGATGGTGACCTGAGTCAATACCGAGTCAGACGCTTAACTGACTGACCCCCCAGGTTCCTCTCTTCATGGATGTGTAAACTCAGGACTGGGCCTGGGCAGGGGGAGCAGTAGGGGTGCCTGGGTACCCTGTGTCCCAGAAAGGAAGGGGGTGAGTGGACACAGGAGCCACGTGGAGGTGCTCCCTCCCGCCAGGCCACCAAAGCGTGAGGGTCAGTGGCGGTGAGGCGGGAACGTGCGCGTCTCCGCTGACGGACTGAACGCACCGGGAGTGTGATGAGCAGCAGGACACCTGCACCGGCCCAGGTGAAGCTGTCGCTCCCATGGGAAAAAGGGACTTCAGGGCAGGGGTGCCATCCTCGGCCGTGAGGGGACCCATGGATGCTGCCCCCTCGAGGACCATGAGAGGCCCGGGGCCTCTTGCCGGAGAAATCAGCAGGACACAGCCCACGTTGAGGGCCACCCTGCCCAAGAACTGGCTTCAAATTTTCAAAAGTCACAGGGTCACAAAAGTCCAGAGGAGACAGCCTCATTCCAGACTGAGGGAGTGCAGAGAAACGGTCCGGCTGAGCGCCGTGGCCGTGCAGGGCCTGTGGGGCCTCCGGGTCCAGGGATGCTCATGTCAGGGAGCCCTCCTCTGTGGGACGCCTACCAACCAATTCTGGCGATAGGATCTGATTCGAACAATTAAACGGCATATTCAAGAAAACCAAAAGAGAAAGTTGGTGAGCTGGAATATAGACCTGGAAAGATGTCTCAGAATGCGGCACAGAGAATCAGGAAGAGACAAGAGTCAGAAGTGTCATTGGGGGAATGTTCCAGAATCGAGGAAAGCAAGGCATCTTCAGTCTCTGGAAGGTCCTGGCCAAGTCAGCGTGAAGGCAGAGCTGAGAGAGGCAGGCATGGCAGCGAGAGCCTGGCTTTACCGTGCGGTGTGGACAGTGCTGTGGCCCACAGGCTTCCAGCCTCGGCCGCCCAGCCCCCCGGCAGGGCTAAGAGCGTTCTTGGGCACCACGCCGACCCTCGGGCCTGACCCCGTGCAACCATTCTGTGAAAGCAGGAGTCCTGTGCATCCTGGTGACTTCTGAGTGCTGGTTACCTTCCAGGGGAGGCTTAATGAGCCCTGCTCCTTGAGCTGTTCACACGTTCAGGGGAACAGGTCGTGGCTGGGATGGACTGGGCACGGCCAGGCGGTTGGTGCAGTTGCCGGGGGCGGTGAGGGGGGGCAGAGGTCACTGGCCTCCTCACCCGCCTGGGCTTCGTTTTCTGGGGACCAGCGTTGGAAGATGTCGCCCGCGTGCTTCTCGGCGGCGTGGGGAGCTTCGTGGTCTCTCCAGGGGCCCCTCTGCATCTGTCTGATAGCTCAGCAGAGGGGCCTGGCGGGGGTGTGCTTGGGTAGCCCGTTGAGGCGGTGGGGCGCGGGGGGGGGTGGGTCTCAGCAGAAGCGCTGCCTGGGTGAGCTGGCGTCTGCCGTCAGCACTGGGCACAGCCTGGAGCCCAGCCTGGCTGTGTGGTCAGGTCAGACAGGCCAGCACGTGGCTCGGAGTTAAGAGCGAAGAGAGGGCGTGCTGCATCCGTTCTGTCCGGCGTGGAAATGAAGCAGGAGAAAACTCACCGAAGGGGAGTCAGGAAGCCAGTGGGGGGAGCTCGCGTGCCAACCCAGCAGGAGCGTCCGTTACAGGGAAGGACGCGCTGGGTCCCCTACACACTGCGTCCCACCCCTGCGGCTCAGCCAAGGAGAAGCCTTTTCACCCCAGACGCTTGCTTCTCTCCAGGGGGCTTCCATTCACAGCAGCCCTCCCAACTCCCCTTCTCCGTAAGATGACGTCTTTGCCTTTGTTGGTGGGAGGAGTCCATCACTTTTGCCATGCAGTGCTTGTCCCCAGTTGCAGTTCTTGTTGCTCCTAAATAAAACCATTTTTGCTGGTAGAATAACTGGCTTTTATTTTTAAGGGCAACATTTTGTATCTAACAAACCAGAAGAAAATGTTTCCCGTCTTGGCCGAGGTCGTGGAGTCCTGTGATTGGGGTGTCTCTTCTGTGGCTGGTGACACCCGCCTGCCCCAGGAACCTGTGCGTGTCTGCTTTGTCGTGGGTCTCAGGGGAGGCAGGTCTGGGGAGCGCGGGCGAGAGGCAGACGCTGTGCTGCCCCGAGGTAGGCGGGTGGGCTGTGCCTGGTGGTCCTTGCTGCGTGACTTCCAGGGGATCAGGCCCAGGACGAGGGGCTGTGTGTGGGTGTCGGCGCAGGGGCACAGAGGCACCACCACGTGGGGGACCCCGCCGACTTTCCAGTCATGAAAGGTCTACTCCTTAATGCCCGAGGGAGGAGCCATCTGAACTCCCCGGAAGGTCCACAGTTGTGATTACTGGGACTTTTTCCTTTGTGACTTCTTTTGTTCCTCCACAGCCGGAAGGTTACCCGTTTTTCCACAGAGCTGGTAATTATTGTCATTTCTGACAGTTTCCCATTTTCAGAAGCACAGCCGTGCAGCCTAGAGGCTCTTTTCCAGAACACCTGAGCTTGGGGGCAGGCATCCGCCGCAGGGCCGAGCCTCGCACGCGTCCTCACTGCACGTGGGTGCGTTTCCGTCTCGTGGGGACTTCTCACTCTGCCCTTCCTCTGCGTGTGCCGTCTCACGGTCAGCACTGCTCAGCGCTTGCCACCTGGACGTCTGGCCTTGCTCTCTCACTCCCATGCAGGTCACTGCCCTCTGCTCAGTTCCGTCCCCGGAGAAGCCAGCCTGCTGGCCTCGGGCCTTTCTTCTCCACTGGGATATGCTGTCCGCAAAGACTCCCTTCCGGGTCTCGGCCTCATGGCTGTCCCTACTGCCCAGGCTCTTCTGAGAACACTGGGTACCCCCGGACCTTTCGCACCAGCTCTCTCTGTTGAAGTGTTTGCTTGCGTCCTGGGCTTGCCCTCCCCTGCTTCCCTCTCCGGACCCTTCCGAGCTTTCTGCAGCTGCCCCTGAGCTCATCGAGGCCAGTGATAGCCCCACACGTGGGCATTTGTCCCTGAGCCCTTCCCATGATTTTCTCACCTAAGCTTACCTGTTTCTGAGGTTCTGTCGTTTTGTAGATGAGAAACATAGAGTCAAAACTGTGCCCAGGGGCACTGCCCCCGCTCAGGCTCCTGCCCCACACGGAGTCCTCCCTGCTCAGCTTGCTGTACATCCGAAGTCCAGGGTTCTAGATCGCCACCATCCATGCAGGAGATCAGAGAGGACGCCTGTGTGTCACCCTGTCTCGGGCTGCTCCCTCCTCCGTCTGCCCTCCTGCCCTGTCCGAGCCCCCTGCGCTCTCTCCCCTCCACTTGGCAGCTCCCCGGTGACCCCATCCCCCTCAGCAGGGGGGTGGTGGCTTAGATTTTAAAAAATAGGTATATTTTTTTAATTTTTGAGAGAGAGACAGAGTGCAGGCTGGAGAGTGGCAGAGAGAAAGGGGGACAGAGGGCTCGAAGCTGGGCTCTCCGCTGTCAGCACAGAGCCCAGTGTGGTGCTTGAACTCAGGAACCATGAGATTGGAACCTGAGCTGAAGTCAGGGTTTGGATGCTTAACTGACTGAGCCACCTAGGCGCCCAAGTGGCTTAGACTTTTAAAACACGTTTGTGCTGAAAGATATTGTTAGGACAGCTGATCAAATTAAAATAAGGCCTGATTAGGTAACAGTAATGTTAGACTTTTAAAACATGTAGTGACCTAACACAGACCTAATGTGATGGTCACCAGGGCTCTCTGTCGTCCCTCCCGGCTCAGTGCTGGGTAAAGGAGACCTTAGACAAGAAAAGGGGGCAGTGAGGAACCCAGCAGAAGGGGCAAGTGTGAACACTCGTTTTAAGAGAAAACGCAGGTTTCTGGGAATACAAAGTGGTGTAGCCACTCTGGAAAACAGTATGGAGTTTCCTCAAAAAACTAAAAACAGAACTACCCTTCGACCCAGCAATTGCACTACTAGGCATTTATCCAAGGGATACAGGTGTGCTGTTTCAAAGGCACACATGCACCCCCATGTTTATAGCAGCACTATCGACAACAGCCAAAGTATGGAAAGAGTTCAAATGTCCATTGCCGGAGGAATGGATAAAGAAGATGCGATATATGGGGCGCCTGGGTAGCTCAGTCGGTTGAGTGGCTGACTTCAGCTCAGGTCATGATCTCACGGTCTGTGAGTTCGAGCCCTGCGTCGGGCTCTGTGCTGCCAGCTTGGAGCCTGGAGCCCGCTTCAGGTTCTGTGTCTCCCTCTCTCTCTGCCCCTCCCCTGCTCATGCTCTGTCTCTCTGTCTCAAAAATAAATAAAAACAAATTAAAAAAAAGATGTATATTTATACAATGGAGTATTACTTGGCAATCAAAAAAAATGAAATCTTGCCATTTGCAACTATGTGGATGGAACTGGAGGGTGTTATGCTCAGTGAAATTAGAGAAAGACAAAAATCATGACTTCACTCCTATGAGGACTTTAAGGGACAAAACAGATGAACATTAGGGAAGGGAAACACAAAGAACATAGAAACAGGGAGGGGGACAAAAGAGAAGAGACTCATCAATATGGAGAACAAACAGAGGGTTGCTGGAGGGGGTGTGGGAGGAGGGATGGGCTAAATGGGGAAGGGGCACTAAGGAATCTACTCCTGAAATCATTGTTGCACTACATGCTGACTAATTTGGATATAAATTTAAAAAAATAAAAAATAAAACAAGTTAAAAAAACGAAACAAAACGCACGTTTCGGGGCTCCTCCTGGTCACCCGGAGAGTGCCCCTGTGCCATCTTGACGGGGCTGGCAGTTCAAGGCTGCACGTGGCTGGCTAATCAGTGTCTCCTTGCAGCGCACTTACCGAATGCCAAAGGAAGTCCGCGTGGAGCCCCAGAAGTTCGCCGCGGAGCTCATCCACCGCCTGGAGGCCATCCAGCGGACACGGGAGGCCGAGGAGAAGCTGGAGGAGCGGCTGAAACGCGTCCGGATGGTGAGTGAGCCTTCTGGGAGAGGCCACGGTGCGGCTCGGGCTCTGGATGATCTTACTGCGTTTTGGTGGAGTTAAGGGCAGCTTCAGGCTCCCACGAGCTCCCTCCTGGGTCTCCCAGAGTGCTGGCTCCCCACGCCCTCTGACCCTGCCCTGGTGGCTGGCCGCTCTGCTGTGACGGGGGCCCGTCTGAAGCCGCCACCGCTCCTGTGTGGTCTTCACCGTCTCCTGGGGAGGAGGTCCCCCTGGCGGGGACCCCGAGCCCGGTCTGGGAGCAACCAGTAAGGCACTCAGCAGCCGCTCCTTGGCCTGCGGGGAGCTGGGGTTCCTGTGCCACCTGCTTCTGGGGAGGGGTGGAGAGGCGGGCAGAGACCACGCCCTGCTGTCATCCCCACACCGGAGCTACATCGGCTCTGCTCAGGAAGGCAGTTTTGGCAGACGACTCAACGCGTACCACATGCATACTGACCTCTCCTTTCAGCCCAACCCCCTTCCTGCTTCCTCCCGTGTCCCACGTGCCCCCGTGGCCCCGCCAGGTCCCAGGGGCGCCGGGCACACGTGTGGAGCAGAGTGTGCCCTTGGCACGGGGCCTGGGGGCTCCCACCGGTCATCCCGAGTGCAGAAAGGGTCACGTTCAGAAATAGGCTCCTGTGCCTTGTTTTCTGACCCATGGCCTTGCCGGGCAGAACGTGGAGTGCTGGGACAATTACGTGTGGTTTGTGACTTACCTGCTCTGATACTTCTCGGCCTGTAGCTGTCAAAGAGACATGCGGCTTATGTGGCCTGTGGGCGTCATCCTGCAAGACTCATTCCCACGTGTGCTCTGGTTTCCGTCCTGAGATGTCGATGACAGACATGTCCCTTGAGCACGGCCTTCCCCGTGCTCTTCACGCCTCACCAGGTTGTGTGTCCCCGAGGCCCCAGTGCCCCGTGCTCCCGGAGCCAGGCGCCACTGTGTCGCTGGAGACAGGCCTTTGCTTTTCTCCAGCAGGTAGGAATCTCCTTCTGAAACTAAGAAAGGTCACCACTGGCAGCACCCGGCCGGCTCGGTCGGTGGAACGTACGACTCTTCCTCTCAGGGTTGTGAGTTCAAACCCCACGTTGGGTGTGGAGTCTGCTTTAAAAAAAAAGAAAAAGGAAAAACAGTCACCAACAAGTGGCGTCTTGCACTTTTTCCCTCAATACCTCATGCCCGATGCCTGAAACCCAAACCATGACTGCTGTGGGGGTGCCTGGCGCATCGCTTGGTAGAGCATCCGACTCTTGATTTTGGCTCAGGTCGTGATCCTAGGGTCATGGGATTGAGCCCCACATAGGACTCTGTGCTGAGCGTGGAGCCTGGTGGGATTCTGTCTTCCCCTCTCTCTCTGCCCCTCTTACAGGCTTGCTCTCTCTCTTTCTCTCCCTCAAAACACAACACAAAGAAAAACACACCCAAAACAGGATTGTTCTGGAAGGAATTGTTTCTCTACCTGATCACCCGATACTCATTTACAACACGGACCTGAGCCCTGCTCAGACTCTGTCCGAACCCCCAGGAGGGGCCTGCTATCTCACCTTCCGTGTTCCCCCGGTGAGTCATGTGCACCTGAAGTCTGGAGATGCCATCGTAAGGGTAGTCATGGGGCCCAGCCACAGTCACACCTGGCAGTTTCCTGTCCTGCCCTCCATGCATCACACACGGTGCTGTGCCCTTGCCGTCCAGGGTTCCGGAGCCCCCTCATAGGACACCCAGGTTTGAAATGAGGGGCCACCCCACCCCCCACATTTTTCAGATTTCGAATAGCGTTTCAAAACCTGGGGTTCGCGGTGGGCACCAGGAAGGCTGGGGTGGTCACCGAGGTGAATGGCCAGATGGCGTGCTCTCCGAGAGGGAGCCCGCATGAAAGTTTTTGGTTTTGTTTTTTTTTTTTAACATTTATTCATTTTTGAAAGGCAGAGAGACACAGAGTGTGAATGGGGGAGGGGCAGAGAGAGAGGGAGACACAGAAACAGAAGCAGGCTCTAGGCTCCGAGCTGTCAGCACAGAGCCCGGCATGGGGCTTGAACTCACGGACCGAGAGATCATGACCTGAGCCGAAGTCGGCCACTCAACTGACTGAGCCACCCAGGCACCCCTATGAAAGTATTTTTAAGCACCTGGGCAGGGACACTAGGTTTTTCTTACCGGCATCTTCTTGTCTCCCTCCCTCGTAGTGACCCGGTGACTCCCATGTAGGCAGCGCAGTGCTGGCCTGGGCGCCAGGCGTGTGCTGACCCGCTGCCTGTTTGCCAGTCTGGGTTGCAGCGAGGGTGGGGGCGGACGTTCAGTGGGCATCCACGGAGGCCACCTTCCCCGTCAGGGTCCAGCAGAGGCCTCCGTGAGTGAAGGGACTGTCAGGGCGTGGCCTGTCAGGTAACCTTCTTTGAGAAATCAGTGTCGGACACAGGGTTGCCGTGAGGCACGGCGGGTTTTACAGGAGCCAAGCCCTGGTTTGCGTGCCGTCGTGGGGCTGGCACCGTGGCGCGTCCGTGGCCCAAGCACGCCTCCGTCAGTGCCTCCTGAGTACGCTCACGAAGTAAAAGTACCCTGTGGTTTGTGAAAGAAGTTTAAGGCAGGAGACTTTCAAACCTTCTTGCCGTAGAACCCAGCTGTGGTAATTGTGTCAAGTTTGTCCTCGTGGCTCCGTGTGCCCGTGGCCCTGCAGGTCACCGTGCGGGATGGGCATTTTAACAGCCATCGGTATTCGGTGTATTTTTCTCATGTCTGAGTCTTAGTCTCCTGTTGTCTGCGGCCTCCCTGTCGGGGGCGTGCGGTTGTGCCTGGATCTCCCAGGAGCTGTCACGGGGGGCTGGGCCCGGCCACAGAGGTTCCCCAGTGCCTGTGACTTAACACAAGATGTTCAAACGAGTAGCCCCTTGTATTTCCTGGGTAGCGATTCGGGAACGAATCGGCAGGCCCGCGGTGGCGTCTGGACAGGATCGCCGGGCTCTGTGTCACAGTCTCTGGCCTGTAGCCACTCTGTCCCCATAGGCTTCCCTCGGACCCTGGGGGGCTCACTGCCCCACAGCTGGCTGTGCGGTTCCATCGGATGCCCTGAGTGTTTAAAAACAAAACAGGAGAAAGTCAATTTTAATTACGTATGTACAGGGAATCCGCATGGACGTGAGAGTCCCTGTCTTGTATGATTTTACAAAATAAGGCTCATATAAATATGCCATAAACTATAGTCTTTTTTAAAAGAAGAATAACTACAGATTTTTAAATAAGAGTTTTGTTGTAAAATTCGGAAAATAAGAACAAAGAAGAAAGTGAAAATTCTTAGCTAGACAGTTTGGTGAACCTGTAACATTTCAAAACCGTAAAACCGGTTTCCTACATGTGCAGAGCCACCGAGACAAGCTGGCTCTCAGCCCAAGCTGTCCGTCACCACCCCGTGCCGCCCCCCGGGGACTGCAAGAGCCCCTCTTCCTTACCCGTGGGGGTCAGTGTCCGTCGAGGGCAGAGTGGGGGGTCCGGCATGGGACGTGGGGTGGGGAGCCCAGGGCCCCGGTGTGCCCGAGAGGGGCGTGTTCACCCTCCCCGCAGCTATGCGCCTGCCCTCTGTCCTGCTCCGTGCCACCTGCGACCTGAGCGTGGACTGAAGTGTCTGCAGCTGACCGCCTGTCCTGGTGACGTGGAGACGCTTTCCCATAAGTGAAAAGTTTCTTGTGGATTTTGTGAGATTTGTTTCTGGTACAGTACAGAGGTAGCTGTCCCATCCTTTCTGGTCACCACCGGATGTACCCACCATTATTCTGGTTTCCACAATTCACTGAGATGAGAAAATAAATACAGGATTTGGCTGGTCACATGTTATATTTACAGATAGGGTCCTGTTGGCTGCCAGAGACTCCAGAGAAACCCAACTGGATTTAGTGTGACAGTTGACCCAGAATCACAGAGCAGAGCAATTAAGCAAAAAACGAGCTCTTCTGTACAAGGGCGTATTCCCTTTGAAAATGTAATGGGAAAGGGACGATCAGGTTGCACAGTCGGTTAAGCGTCTGACTCTTCATCTCGACTCCGGTCATGATCTCCCTTGGGCCCCACATCAGGCTCTGTGCTGACAGAGTGGAGCCTGCTTAGGATTCTGTGTCTCTCCCTCTCTCCCTGCCCCTCCCCCCCCAAAATAAATAAACTTTAAAAGCAAACAAAAGAAAATATAATGGAAAACATGGAAATAAAATTGAGGACTAGGAAAATCAACTGAAGAAATAAAAATACCTTTATTGAGAAGCATAAAAGAACTAAGTCCCTCTGGAGGTTTCTCAGTGGGCGGGATTGGGTGGGCGTTGTGGTCCTCGAGTTCCTGGTGCGTGGTGGGCGTGCTCACTCTCTCACGCTCCCCAGCGCCCAGTGCCTCACCTGGCCTGCTCATCCTGGGCTCGGTGCTTCCGGCCCCCGAGATGGAGCGTTGCGGGCCTATTTCTTTGTTTCCGCGAGGGCGAGGTTTCTGTGACTCGGCCGGTGCCAGGAGGTGACTCGTGACCTTGTCCTGCAGGAGGAAGAAGGTGAGGATGGTGACATGCCCTCTGGTCCCCCGGGGGCCCCTCATAAGCTGCCTTTGGCCACAGCCTGGCACCACTTCCCGCCCCGCTATGCAGACGTGGGCTGCGTGGGTCTGCGGGACGCGCACGAGGAGAACCCTGAGAGCATCCTGGATGAGCATGTGCAGCGGGTCATGAGGACGCCGGGCTGTCAGTCGCCGGGGCCCGGCCACCGTTCCCCTGACAGCGGGCACGTGCCCAAGATTGTGGGGGTCCTAGGGGGCGTGCCCCCTGGGCACAGTAAGCACGCACCTAAGTCCGGGGTGAAGCTGGACGCAGCCGGCCCACACCTGCACAGGCACGGCCACCACCACAGTCACCACGGGGCGGCCAGGCCCAAGGAGCAGGCTGAGGCTGAGGCCTCCCGCCGCATCCCGGGCAGCTTCTCTTGGGGCCCGGAGCTGCACGGCCACACAGCCAAGCCCCGTAGCCACTCAGAGAGCGTGGGCACCGCCCCCAATGCGAGCGACAGCCTGGCCTACAGGTGAGTGTCTGTGGCAGCCTGGGCCTTGCTTTGGGATCGGGGCTGTGGTTTCTTCATCCCTGAACCTGTATCAGTAAGGGCCACGTGCGCCTTCCCGGGGAGGAAGGGGTCACAGTGAGAGGCTGTGTCTCCTGAGGGTTCTGTTCAGTTTTCTGGGCCCCAGTTCCCCTTTAAAAGTCGTCCAGCCGGGGTTGCCTGCACAGACCATGGGCATGTGGTCGCCAGAGGGCCCCAGCGCCCAGCATGAGTGCCTGGTCCTGCCTGGGGTCCCGGGCCATCCAGGGCTTGAAGGGTGCATGGATAGAGAGGTACCTGTTTCGGGGGAGGCGTCTGGGTGAGGGGTGACTGGGTCGCGGTGCTGCTGCCCCCAGGTGGGTGGCCGGGCTGGGAGGGCGAAGGACAGGTGCCCCTGCCCTCCCAGCTGGTGCTGCCTGGACGCCTTGTGCTCCCCACCAGACTAACCTCAGAGAACCCCCTGGCATTGGGGCGGAGCCCGCGAGGACACACAGCTCTGTCAAAGCCACCGCGTTCAGGTAGCCGCTTTCCGGCAACAGGCCACAAAGTAAAGGCAGCAGGTGACTCCCGGCCCCTTGCTTTTGTAGCGGGAAGTCTGGCACTGCCTCCAGAAGAAACGCCAAGAAGGCGGAGTCAGGGAAGGGCGTGGGAGCCGAGGTGCCTGGCCCCTCGGAAGACGCGGAGAAGAACCAAAAGATCATGCAGTGGATCATCGAGGGGGAGAAGGAGATCAGCCGGCACCGCAAGGCTGGCCACGGGTGAGAGGCGCCAGCGTCCCGGGTGGGTGTGGCCACACAAGCCACGGGTAAAAGGCACCCGGCGTCCTGGGTGGCGCGGGCACCAGCGTGTGGCACTAATTGACGAGCCTACAGCACGGTTCCGCCAGGGTCTTTGAAGCTGCGGCCTGGCCCCACCCACCTGTCCTTATACCCCGTGGCCGTGGCCGTGGCCGTGGCCGTGTGAGCTCGCTGACTCCCGCCCCGAGTGGGGCCCTGTGCCGGCCTTGGGGTCCTGACACAGCTTCGGTGTCCTGGGCAGGAGTGTCCGCTGCTGAGCTCGTTCTCAAGTCACCACGTTTCTGCCTGATCTCCTCTTGCTGTGCCCAGCCCGCCAAGGGGGGCCCTGCTTTCACACAGCTGCCCTCACGAGCTGCTTTCTGGGTGGCTGACGCCTCCACATGACAGTGACCTAAGTTACTGGGGCAGTTAGGCAGGTACCTGGACGCCACTCCAGACAGACCATGCAGGACAAGTCTTCTCTGATCGCACCTGATCACCCCCCAGCCGTCGGTGGTGTCTGCACCCTCTGAACTCTGTACCGGCCCCACAGAGCCGGAGGCTGCTCTGGAGGGTGTGGAGCCAGGACCCCAGACGTGCCATTGCCGCCTCGCGTGGGTCCGTCCATTTTGGGGGGACCATGGGGGACTGGGGCTGGCCCGGACTGCACGCCTCACCCCCAGACCAGCTGTCTGGGCCATGGGGCTGGTGCCCGTGGGTGGGGTGGCCACCCCTCCTTCCTCAGTCTCCCGCTTCGCTGACTGTCTGTTTTGGATATGGTTGGGGACGGTAGAGTGTGCGTGTGTGGCGGCGGGGGGGGGG